TCTCTCCAAGGTGATGGCCATCTCTGCGTACTCTGATCCCATACAGATCTTGAAAATGATGGTTGCGGCACAGAGGGAAGGGAATCTCTTTAGAGCCTCACAGCTTGGTTTTCTCAAAAGGTTCAATTTTACATAGATTCAAGCCTGTAAGGCAGCAGAGAGCAACAGTGCAAACATCTCAAATGCAGCGACAAGTTCTGTTTGATTAATTTTCTTGTTTATAGAGAGCACAATTGGGACTCTTCTACTCCTTGAAACAAGTAACAGATAGCAGACATGATTCACAGCATGTCCAAGGGCGGATACAGCCCCAACAGATCCTAGCTGCAACATGACTAACCCATTGCATACTTCTGGGTCCAGCTTCTCGCGGAAGCCTCGTACTTGTTCCGATCAGTCTTGTACATGTGTGCAATCTCTGGGACCAAAGGATCGTCGGGGTTTGGGTCTGTTAAAAGAGAACAGATGGAAAGCAACACCTGAAAGAACACCAAAGCAAATATCAAGCATCAGTTATTTTTTATCGGTCTTATCCTTCACTTACAAAAAAGTATCATATGGAAGAACAGCAAACGACAATGTTAGACGCAGGTTGTTATCGCAGCCGAATCAACCTACATCCAGATTTTCACAAGGAGCAATGGAGACCGGTTTGTTGTAATCAATTAGCATACCATGAGACGATCAAAGAAAAGAAAATAATGAACATCAGCAACCGGTCACATCTCACCAAGTCATTGATAATCAATGGCAATTACTCTCACTGACACGATTACCAAAAGATAACAACAGATGCATGAACACTTAGATCCTGGAAAATTTTAATGCTATAAAACACCCATTAAATGTTAATCTACAATGAATTTTGAACATGAAAGAATATGCACAAAATTTAATAACCTTAGAGATTGTCAACGCAGGACTCCACTGCTCCTTCAAGATGTCAAGACAAATGCTGCCATTGCTGTTAATATTTGGATGGAAGACCTTTGTCCTGAATGCTACCTGCATAGTACAGATTTGAAGCTTAAGGGAACCGAAATCACTGCTTATTTTAACTGTGATATGTGTGTTGTTAAGTATTTAATGAAATCAAGGCACAAATTACTTAATCTCCATACACAGGCCAAGTCCTGGCATACCCATTATACCCATTAGAAATAATGCAACAACACTAAATCAAAACAAATGATGCTTATCCCTTTTCTTTTTCCACTACTAATTTATGGTGGTGAGTATTATGGGAAGTGCACCCTGACTGCTACCATATTCCAACAACAAGCTACAGTAGCTGGGATAGGAATGTTTCTTAAAGTTGGGTCCAAGTGGCTTTCCTGCTTCATTTGTTGTTGGTATTGCATATAAAATTCTCATGATCCGCCTGATTCTGTTTTTTTAAATATAATCAGAAAAATCATATAACATCCTTATTGGAAGAATAGTCCTCATAGGGTGATTGTTGACAAGTATCTTCTATTTTACAGTAGACTTACAGAACCTGTCGAAATTTGTTTTGGTGTTCAAGCTCTAAACGATGAGAAGATACAAATGCTTCGACTTTGAATGCCTTTCTCAAGTCTGTGCTATAGAAAATTTGAGGAACACCACTAATCATTGATAAACTCTCATGACTAACAAGTTTATAGATTGGTTTTAGATTTTTTTCCTCCAAATCTTGTAGCGGTGTATATTAAGTAGCTACACATGGCCAATGGGTTAATAATTATCAATTTTGTACTACACCCTTTGTGCTATATTCTTCTTGGAAAGCAACTTGTTTTTCTTGATAAACAAGCTTGGGATGTTAATCACTTGTCATAGGTTGTGATTACCACATCCAATAGCTCAAAGATGATGTCAAGTCAATCATAGACCTCATGAACTTTTCTTTTTCTCTTTCTTATAAACATATCCATGCCAACTAACATCCATTTTTTAATATTCGTAGCAGGGTGTATATGCATTGTGCCCCATCCAGTGCTCCTTACCTCCTAGCCTATTTCTACATTCATGTTTAGTCAGAGGTTTGGAAAACAAAAGGCAAACCAGTTTAACATCCAATATTAACAAGAAAAAAGAGTTGTTATAGTTGCACCCTCCGAAAACAAAAGTAATTCTAAACGACAAGACATATCAAGAAGCTTAATGATGCAGTACCTTAGGTGGTTTGAATGGATAATCAGGAGGAAAGTGGATGGTGACAAGAAAGACACCCCCAGCATAAGGACTATCCGGAGGACCCATTATTGTTGCTTGCCAGTGAAACATGTCTTCTGCCACAGGACCTGTAAATTCCAAAAAAATGCAACTTATGGAAAAATAAATAAACGTCAAAGTCATGTCGAGATGAAGTTACCAGTAAATTCCAAGTTTAAGCTTCACCCACATCTAAGCATTATGATCCCAAGAATTGACTAAACTATCAAGTTCAAAATAAGGGTTTTTCGTTACCGATCTACGTTTGATAAACTCTAAGATGCTTGTGAGCATCCAAATGGATCAATTAGTAATAAACCATAAGGTTCCAACTATTTAGGCTTCAGCTACATGGATCCTTTCCTCCCATGGGTATCTACAAATTTCATCTCAATGGATTAACCATGCACTAAATAAAAAAGATGACTATTAGGATATTATCAAGCATATATTGCTTGGATCGAGTGATATTAGTCCCTTTTTATTCATTTCAAGTATATAAAAAGAAGGTCCCCAATAATTTAAGACAAGACATGTGCATGCCATTAAATTAAAAAATACCCATGAAGAACAATTGGGAGAGAGAGCATATAAACTAGATCCATACTCAACACGACAACAAAAACTAGTTTATTGTCACTAAAAGCAGAGCCACTAAGTAGTGAGGTTAAACAATGGTTAACGAATTCATAATAGGTAATCCACGCTAATGTATCAACATCTGCAATAAAATTAATCATTTACTTAGATTAACATTATCATTCAAGCAAAAAAATATAGATATATACATATGAGCACAAGATCATTTTTTTTTTTTTTTTTGACAACCTTGACAGGCGAATAAGCAACCATGTTTCTGACAACCAGGTTTTTGACAACCTTGACAGGCGAATAAGCAACCAGGTTTTTGACAACCTCGCTTTCCCCTGAACCAACCGCACTAGAACAACATGTTTCGTTGTTACTTTTATGATAAGATCTAGCATATTGCCCATGCATGAAACGATATGAAATCAAAAGGCGAATAAGCAACCACAACGGAAAGCAATAAACCATTGAATTCTTGAAATAATCAATATTGACAAATAACAATCTGAAAGAACAGCCATAAAGCGACCATAGTAGACAACCAACTCTTTCACATTATATCCCATTTCCGTAAGTCCACCTAATCCTGCAAAAGCTGAGCGTCTACCATCTCAACACAAAACATTCTGCCACCGGGAAAAATATAGGTTGCCTTATCTTACTTCGGTCTGAAATTTGGTAACTGCTATAAGACCAGACACCACAAACACAAGTCCAAAAACCATATTATGAACCACAACAAGGTTTCCGGCTCAATTCCCTAAATCACCACATGCAACGCGAGAAAATAGTGAAGTCGAATCATTTCATATCTAGAAAACTCAGGTAATTCTTAGAATATGGCAGCTTTAACACCAACAAAAGCTCCACCCCCACCATACGAGTCCGGGTCGAAAACCTCAACAGCTCATCACAAAACAAACGGGGAAAAAGGGCAAAACTATCTGGATCCGGCGAGGTTACCTGCGCTGCAGGACGTGGGAGGATCCTTCTGGAGGTCCTTGAGCTCCTTCAAGATCCGCTTCGAGGCCATGAACGCAGACCTAATGCCCCTGCAGCAACCCCGAATCGATCGGATCGCCGAGGGAAGGAGGAGAAGAACAATCCGATTCCAAGAAGCAGCACCGGATTGGAGGTGGGGAGGAAGCGCGCTCTTATAGGAATTCTTCGGGTCGTCGTCATCCGCTCCTTCCCGCACGCGGTTTCGACGAACAAACGGCGAAAGCGGAAAGGTAATAAGGGAAGGGGGAAGTTTCGTAGCGATACATCCATCCACCGAATACGTACGCGTGTTTGCCGTATTGCATACTCGTAACTCGTATATTTGTACGACGGGGGGCCGATGATGTAACGATGACGACATGGTGGATGATGTGATCAACCGTCTATCAATCACATCATGAAGATATCAAAAGGTTGGTTTGTATTCCAATTTTAGATTTAACAAAATACAGCACGAATTTTTTTTCCATTGACTTTACAATTTTTAATATATTTATTAAATTGTAATGTATTAAATTGACTTTACAATTTAGTCAATGAGTAGAATCTAATAAATTAGAATTTTGATAGTTTATCGTAAAGCGCCCAACTCAAATTCGATATTTTTATCGAAAAAAAAAGTCATGACAAAAAATAATTCTCTCTTATATATAATATTATTATTACCTTAAGTATTTATTAATCATTGGATAGGCTCCCAATACAAGTCTAATAAGAATTTGGCACATTAGCCCAACATTAAATCCGAATCATTTACAAAAATGCGAATTCCCAAGAAAAGCTTTTTTTTCTTTTAGGTTTTGCTGAAAAAATATCCTCGTTTTTATAATTATGTGATAGTATCCTTTTTAACCTAATACTAGAAATATCTTTTTTTTTCTCGTTTTCCTATAGACGGATCGATCGATAGGGTCGACCAGTCCGATTATAACATTTTTATACTTTGTTACGATATTTTTTAGTAATATCAAAAAATATTATAATGTAATACTGAGTTATAATATTTTTTTAGTATTATCGAAAACACTGTAACAATGTTGTATAATGATTACCAAGTTTGACATAATAATATTAG